CGGACAGGATGAATTCGCTTGCCTCTGGCAGGGCTGTCCGCGTGCTCGGCCTTTTAACGCCAGATACAAGCTGCTGATCCATATGAGGGTTCATAGCGGAGAAAAACCGAATAAGTGTCCGGTATGTACGTTAAGATCATACAATTTCTTAACTAATACTTTATCACGTTGAAGTCGCTGCAGTTAATAAGATCCTTTGAATCGTATTTACAGTTCACTGGGTGCAAGAAGGCATTTTCACGATTGGAAAACTTGAAAATCCACCAGAGATCTCATACGGGAGAAAGACCATACGCCTGCCAGCATCGTGGCTGTTCCAAAGCGTTCAGTAACAGCAGCGATCGTGCAAAACACCAAAGGACTCACTACGACACGGTGAGTTTGTTATTTTATCCAGTTATTCGGATTCAAACCTCTTTGAACTGTGACACCGAACGTTTAAACCAAGAAGAGGAGAATCGTTTGATTTCAATTGGTTTGATGTTATGTAAGATAATTGCAAATGGAGAACGGTATTTCATCATCACGTTGAATGTATTTTCAGTTAGAATTGCCCTACGGTCGATGACGGACAAGTGAAAAATTATCACACAATTGCGCAAAGTTAATTACTCGATCAACAATTTATGTTCGTGTAACGATCCTTCCGCATTTACGTAATCGAAACAGTTGAGTTCCTTTTCACACTTAGAAATTCTTTCATACCTGTTTAACACTAAACGTACCAAGCGGGGTCAAATGACCCCTTTTCAAAATTTACTTTAAAAAAAAAATATATGTTTGAGTATTTTTATTAAAAATCAGAAGTTATGTTGCAAATTATTTCCTTTAATAAATTAAGAATTTCTTTCTAAAAAAGTTATGTTGCAGAAATTATTTCCTTTAATAAATTAAGAATTTCTTTCTAAAAATCAACGTTTACTTATAAAGGTCAAATGACCCCACGTTTAGTGTTAAATAATAATCTGATAACCAGTCATATCTTATGGTAAGATAGGTATATGTAAAATGGTACGTTTAGTGTTATATAATTATATGGTAAGATAGATATATGTAAAATGCCGGTACGTTTAATGTTAAATCCTCGAGGAAACGCGACGATCATCTTTTATTCTTCGAGAAGAAGTAAAACAAATAAATAAATAAATCCAAATGATAAGTGTACAAAGTTCTGTTATTTAAAGGATTCAGCGTGAATGGCTTGTGTGACGAGCAGAGATCAGAATATGAATGTCCACGTGTCTTCGAAATAAATAAAAAGAAATTAAGAAAAAAAAGAGAACTCCAACGCTGTTTCGCTGGTTTTAATAAAAATTTAAAGACGCAAAATTAAG